ACCCCAGGGTATGCAAGGGCGAAACTCTATCACCATGGCTAATTTTTTGTGTACAATTTGACTGTCATTACGCTGTTCAGTTGTGCGTTTACTCTGAACTCTGCTTCATCACATAAGGTATGTGTGTACGACTTATCTTTGTACGACTTATCTGTGTACGGCTTATCTGTGTACGGCTTATCTGTGTACGGCTTATCTGTGTACGGCTTATCTGTGTACGACTTATCTGTGTACGGCTTATCTGTGTACGGCTTATCTGTGTACGGCTTATCTGTGTACGACTTATCTGTGTACGGCTTATCTGTGTACGGCTTATCTGTGTACGACTTATCTGTGTACGGCTTATCTGTGATTACATGTTTCTCAAGGCTCGTGCCCCTGCAGAACGTGACTTTGATAACCATCACATACTCTTCACGCCTCTTGTCATTCCCTCCATACCCCTCACCACGTCTCCCTTCTAATCCCTCCAACAACAGGTCTATAGTGGTCGTGTGGCCCCTTGCCTCATTCACAGGTGACTTTTGAGCCGACTCAAAAGTACCCTCACCACGTCTCCCTTCTAATCCCTCCAACAACAGGTTTATAGTGGTCGTGTGGCCCCTTGCCTCATTCACAGCTTGCAAGAGCTTAGTGAGGCGGGCATAGGCAGAGGAAGAAGATGGGCAGGCACATGCGCGTTGTTTATTAAAAAGGCCCACATGTTTCTTTCATGCCTCTTTTCTTTTCTACCCCTCCAACAACAGGTCTTCAGTGGTCGTGTGGACCCTTGCCTCATTCACAGATTCCAGGAGCACTGTGAGGCAGGCACAGGCCGAGGGACAGCAGCAGGGGATGCAAGCCTGGTAGAGACACAAGAGGAAGCAGCAGCAGGAGCAGCAGAACAGACAGCAACAGCAGCAGCTCCATCCACATCAGATCCTGCCACTCCTCTTGGTGCCGACCTCGCTCTCCTTCCTTCAAAGAAATTTCCGTCCCTGCTTGCCTCGGGCCTTGTGCCGACTCTCCTACGAGCGAAAAGCGTGCAACGGTTGAAAAGAGTCAGGGGAAGAAGGGTTGAACAGAAGAGGGGGGGTGGAGAGGAGGAGCGGCGAGGGAAGAAGGGGATGAAAGGGGAGGAAGGGGTAGCGGCAAGGGAGGGGAAGGAGGAGGATGAGAGAGAGGAGTGGTCGGCCTGTTGGAGAGTCAGCGGGTCGCTCCTGAAACGAGTCTTTGCAGAGAGTGAGTAACTGCCTCATGCTCCTGAGCGAATGAATATTCCTTTGTGAGAGAGAATGCTCCTGAGTGAGAGAGAATGAGCAAAGTGTGGAATCGTGCCCGTGCGACCACCATCGCGACCACCATCAGAAGCTGGGTGGCTTTTGAGTTGATTCTTGAACACCCCTCCGTTCTCGCTTCCAACCCTCCCCTTTGCAGTGGTTTTATCCAGCAATGACCAGGTCGACACTGCAGCCTGCTCCCTTCTTTGTGACCTTGGTCTCACCCTTCAGCATTCCTCTCCCCCCCCCCCCCACACATCTCTCCCCCTTCTCCCCTCCCCCCCTTCCCAGTGGTTTTGTCCAGGAATGACCAGGTCGACACTGCAGCCTGCTCCCTTCTCTGCGATTTTGCTCTCGCCCCATCGCCATCAGCATCAGAACCAGGGGCAGGAGCACAAGCACAAGCAGCAGCAGGAGGAGCATCAGCGGCAGCAGCAGCAGCAACCCAAGGTACAGGGTCAGCAGCAGATGTGCAGCAAGCAGAGTTGCAGCAACTTCTGCCTTTCCTCTTCTCCCCAACCACGGGCCTCTCTCCTCTCTCCCTCCCTATCATCGGCTCTTCCCAGCCGCCCTTCCCCTCTGCCTCCTCCTCTCTCCAAACCCCCTTTACCTCCCCATCCTCCTCCTATCACACCACTTCTCTGGTGCCTCCTCTAGCTCCTGATTGGCTCCCGGGGTATGCTGACGTGGCAGCAGCTCTTCTGGCCGTTGGATTCTCCCCATCTCTCCTGTACAGAGATCAAGCGGCCATGGAATACAATGCACACGCGCCTAACCCACACTCACCACCTTCTGCTGCCGCTGCCGCTTCCGCTGCCGCTGCTGCCCCTGGTGCTGCCGCCGCAGCTACTGCTGCTCCAGCTGCTGAAAATACGGCACCTCCTAGTCCCCCAACATCCTTAAAGCCCTTGCTAACCACAGGACCCTCGGCGTGCATTCAAGCCGTGGCATCGAGTCAACCCCCTACTGAGACGGCTCAAGAACCCGCAAGACCCGTCGTAACGTCCATTCAAGAAGTAGTATCAACCCGACTCCGCAAAATGGACCTCCTCCTGAAAACCATCTCTGCAATCTGCATTGGCCAGTCATTCGCCCCAACAAATCACCCCTCATTACTGTCCCAGTCCCACTTGGCCCTGCTCTTCCTGCATCTGCTTCACCTCCTGGCGGACCATACCCACCTGCTTCCGCTGCACACTGCGGCACTCAGAGCCCTCACTGCCATTGCCACCTGCAGCAGCAGTGAAACGGGTTGTCTGGGGTTTCTTTCTGAGGAGCAGTTTACTCACCGGCTTCTCTGGTGAGTGCTGCGTGTTGATGCTGAATGAAATGGTTGGTTTGTTTTCCCCCTGCTGCCGCTGCACACTGCAGCGCTCAGAGCCCTCACTGCCATCGCCACAAACAGCAACAGCAGCCACACTGCTGGCTGCAGCAGCAGTGAGAAGGACTGTCAGAGGTTTCTCGATTTTTGAGTCGACTCAAAAAAGGACTGTCAGAGGTTTCTCGCCGAGGATCAGTTCACCCACCTCCTTCTCTGGTGAGTGCTGTATGTTGCGTGGAGGTTCAGGGCTGTCTTGCTCAGCGTGCCTTTCACCTGCTGCCACTGCACACTACGGCGCTCAGAGCCCTCACTGCCATTGCCACCTGCAGCAGCAGTGAGAAGGACTGTCAGAGGTTTCTCGCCGAGGATCGGTTCACCCACCTCCTTCTCTGGTGAGTGTGGGGTGAGTGTGGGGTGAGTGTGGGGTGAGTGTGGGGTGAGTGTGGGGTGAGTGTGGGGGTGAGTGTGGGGTGAGTGGGGGGTGAGTGTGGGGTGAGTGTGGGGTGAGTGTGGGGTGAGTGTGGGGTGAGTGTGGGGTGAGTGTGGGGTGAGTGTGGGGTGAGTGTGGGGTGAGTGTGGGGTGAGTGTGGGGTGAGTGTGGGGTGAGTGTGGGGTGAGTGTGGGGTGAGTGTGGGGTGAGTGTGGGGTGAGTGTGGGGGTGAGTGTGGGGTGAGTGTGGGGTGAGTGTGGGGTGAGTGTGGGGGTGAGTGTGGGGTGAGTGTGGGGTGAGTGTGGGGTGAGTGTGGGGTGAGTGTGGGGTGAGTGTGGGGTGAGTGTGGGGGGAGTGTGGGGGTGAGTGTGGGGGTGAGTGTGGGGTGAGTGTGGGGTGAGTGTGGGGTGAGTGTGGGGTGAGTGTGGGGTGAGTGTGGGGTGAGTGTGGGGTGAGTGGGGGGTGAGTGTGGGGGTGAGTGTGGGGTGAGTGTGGGGTGAGTGTGGGGTGAGTGTGGGGTGAGTGTGGGGTGAGTGTGGGGTGAGTGTGGGGGTGTGGGGGAGTGTGGGGTGAGTGTGGGGTGAGTGTGGGGTGAGTGTGGGGTGAGTGTGGGGTGAGTGTGGGGTGAGTGTGGGGAGTGTGGGGTGAGTGTGGGGTGAGTGTGGGGTGAGTGTGGGGTGAGTGTGGGGTGAGTGTGGGGTGAGTGTGGGGTGAGTGTGGGGTGAGTGTGGGGTGAGTGTGGGGTGAGTGTGGGGTGAGTGTGGGGTGAGTGTGGGGGTGAGTGTGGGGTGAGTGTGGGGTGAGTGTGGGGTGAGTGTGGGGTGAGTGTGGGGTGAGTGTGGGGTGAGTGTGGGGTGAGTGTGGGGTGAGTGTGGGGTGAGTGTGGGGTGAGTGTGGGGTGAGTGTGGGGTGAGTGTGGGGTGAGTGTGGGGTGAGTGTGGGGTGAGTGTGGGGTGAGTGTGGGGTGAGTGTGGGGTGAGTGTGGGGTGAGTGTGGGGTGAGTGTGGGGTGAGTGTGGGGTGAGTGTGGGGTGAGTGTGGGGTGAGTGTGGGGTGAGTGTGGGGTGAGTGTGGGGTGAGTGTGGGGTGAGTGTGGGGGTGAGTGTGGGGTGAGTGTGGGGTGAGTGTGGGGTGAGTGTGGGGTGAGTGTGGGGTGAGTGTGGGGTGAGTGTGGGGTGAGTGTGGGGTGAGTGTGGGGTGAGTGTGGGGTGAGTGTGGGGTGAGTGTGGGGTGAGTGTGGGGTGAGTGTGGGGTGAGTGTGGGGTGAGTGTGGGGTGAGTGTGGGGTGAGTGTGGGGTGAGTGTGGGGTGAGTGTGGGGTGAGTGTGGGGTGAGTGTGGGGGTGAGTGTGGGGTGAGTGTGGGGTGAGTGTGGGGGTGAGTGTGGGGGTGAGTGTGGGGTGAGTGTGGGGTGAGTGTGGGGTGAGTGTGGGGTGAGTGTGGGGTGAGTGTGGGGTGAGTGTGGGGTGAGTGTGGGGTGAGTGTGGGGTGAGTGTGGGGTGAGTGTGGGGGTGAGTGTGGGGGTGAGTGTGGGGTGAGTGTGGGGTGAGTGTGGGGGTGAGTGTGGGGTGACTGTGCATGCGTGGAGTGAAATCGAGTTTCGAGACGTCCCAAAACTCGTGGTAAGTGCTTTTGAGGCGCCTCAAAAGACGTCCCAAAACTCGTGGTAAGTGAAATCGTGGGACACACCACGCTTTCTCCCAACAGTGATTTGTCTCCAACCTGAGTGTTTTTCATTCGACTCTGACTTCCGTCCTCCACTTCCCCTTCCCCTCCCTATCTCACCCTCTCTCACTCCAGGGCCATGGCAGCTGATCCAATCTCCCTGCAGACCACACCAACTTCACCCAACGTTGTCTCCCATGTGGCACCGTCCACCAATCACACTCCGCCACCTGGCAAGCACTGGTGGCTGGCAGCGCTTCCTCTCGTCCTCGCCCTCCCCGCTGCCTCGCCTGCTTGCTCTCGCTTCCGCCACCGCTGTGCTGCCGCCATGCTGCACCTCATGGTGAGTCACGACTCACGACTCCAAGAAGTGATGCTGATGATAAATTTATTCAAAGGTGCCACTCCCGCTAGTGCTCTCCTGCTCGTCCTCTCAACCTCCTTTCCGCCTTCCCTGACTCCCCCTCTCAGTTTTGAGATGCCTCAAAGCTCAACGCACACTGCTGTCATGTCAAATTTTGAGGTGTCATCATCAACCTGCCGCTTCTCTGTCTCTCTCTCACCTCCCCACTTGCAGGAGAAAGGGGAGGTACCGTCACCTGCCGCCATTCCCACTCCGCCGCCCATCCAGCTGTCAGCAGATCAGGTCATATCCTCCTTCGTATCAAATCCTGCCAACAATCCCACTTCCCACGGATGCGACCTCCCCCTGCTGCTGCACAAGCTCTACCTCCTCGACGTCTGCCTCGGCCAATCGCAGTCCGCCACGTCAGTGCACACCATGCGGGCGTGGCTGACGTGGCTGCAGGCCGCTGCAACCAAGCTGTCCACAACAGACACAAGAACAGGCGCCGGCCAGGTGAGCACGAATCTGCACCCTTGACGCACATCAAAACAGGTAAGCACCCCTCTCTACTCCATCCCCTCTCACCGCCGCCCCTCACCGCCGCCCCTCACCGCCCTTCTTCCTGCTCACTGTGACCAAGGTATCCACCATTGATACGAGAACAGGTGCCGGCCAGGAAGGCATTGATAAGGTTTGACAAGGGTCAAAACAGGTAATACTACCCACCTCCCTTCTCCCTTCTCCCTTCTCCCTTCTCACTGCGACCAAGGTATCCACCACCGATACGAGAATAGGGGCCGGTCAGATAAGTACCAGCTGTACCTTTTGTCTTGCATCAAACTAGTATGGGTATACGGTAACATTCTTACCTTCTCAGATGTATCGATTGGGTATTGTGTATTTACGGTACCGTATCTCTTTTTCGTATTTTCCCTGTGCTGATTCAGGTTCGACACTGGGCGTTTTTCCTCCGGACCAAGCATCGCGTACTGGCCTCCCAGCTTTAGCTCACACTGACAGTATGCTACAGGGAAAGCTGTAGTTAATCTACTAATCGTAAATCATCTGCATTGTTTGCGAATCTGGTGTTGGGTGCACTCTGCACACATGCACCCTCCTGCTGTTGTGAAAATAACCACTTGGAATTACAGGGGCTTCAGATGGTTCTGAAAGTGGTCAACCCTAAATAAAGCAGGGCAATGGTTAATGAAGTTGACTGAGGTCAACCTGAAGGCTGAAGACCTCGTAGTGGTGGTCAACCCGGAGGGACTTGACCCCATGCAGCTTCCAGCAGCTGCCCAACGCTCCCAGGTGACCAGGATGCCAGACAGTTGTCCAAGGTCAAACCTCCAAACGTCATGGTGTTGGTAGTTGACTGAACAGTTGACTGAGGTCAACCCTGAACACCTCATAGTGGTGGTTGAGGGACTTCACCCCATGTAGCTTCCAGCAGCTGCCCAACGCTCCGCCTTGTAGGTTTGGAATGGCGTAGAAGACTCGGCGCACACGCTGGTGCACCAATGCCATGGCACACCTGGGAGGGAGGGGGGGGTAATGGGATCATGAGGTCATGGCAACTGAGGTCAACTGAGAATGGGAACAACTGAGGTCATGCATGAGAGCTACGCATCGTTCAATTACTACCTCAACAGGCAATCGTGCAAAGAACTCGCTCTCACTTGATGCAAATGTACTACCTCAACAGGTAAGCAGATGACTACTGAGACGTCGCAAGTGATGCACAAACAAGCGATTATGCAAAGAAGTTACTCACATGATGCACGGCTCATGCAGCATAAAGGCATCGAAGCCCGTGCAGAGGTACGGGCGGGCAGCAGAGCACGGTGGTGCATTTGGAGAGACGGCAGGTCGTGCTGGGTCGCCTAGCGCCTGTACCTGCACACCAGAGAGCAGGAAAACAGACAGACAAACAAACAAACAAACAAACAAACAAACAAACAAACAAACAAACAAACAAAACAAAGAATGGACCTATGCCCTCGTGGGAAGGATGCACAGGGTGGCATAGTGGAAGGACGAAACTACAAGGGTGGAAAATTCAGTGCTTTTGTGTTGAAGACAGTTTATTCCCTTCCCTTCCATCACTCTCATGACTCTTATCCCTTGCACCACTCACATTTGAGACGTCTCAAAAGTCCCTTGCACCACTCACATCATTGCCCTTCTGTCTCTTCAAGGGAGGCGACTTGCCATCTCTCATCACCTCCATGTTCGTTCCCCTCCGCACCTCGTCCCCCTCCCACCACTCTCACCCCTCGCACCCTCCACTCACATCATTGCCCTTCTGTCTCTTCAGAGGAGGCGACTTGTCATCTCTCTTCACCTCCACGCCCGCTCCCCTTCGCACCTCGTCCCTGTCCCCATCCAGCACGCCCTTTCGCTCCTCCCCTTCCTGCTGCTCCCTTTCTCTCTGTACCCTTTCCCCCTGCTTCGCTTCTCTCTCCCTCTCCTCCCCCCCTGATGCCGCAGGGTCACCCCTTGACTCCTCCCCACCACCATCCAAGAACAGTGTTTTGTCCTGTGGAACCTCACTGGGGAACAGTGCTCGGTCGCGGGCGGCAGCAGCAGCAATCGCAATCATTACTGCATGTTCCAGAGGGTGCCCCAACCTCGCTCGTGCAAATTTCTCCTTCCCCCCATCGTTCCTTGCACATGGATTGCTATTCCTTGCGGCTTGACTGCATGTTGTTGTTGTTGACATTGGTGACGTGGCTGTTTCGACTGCTGCTGTGGCTGCTGTTGTCGTTGTTGTGGGAGTGGTTGTGGTGCCGTGCGCCTTTCTTGTCTTCTTCATTCGCCGAGCGGCTGGCGCAGCGGGGTTTTGAGCAGAAGCGAGGATAAGCCCGTTGCTAGGGTCAGCGATCACAGCTATATTGAACCCCTGAAAAAAAGAGACAGCGAGAAATAGCAAGAATGGGGGCCCAAGGGATGGGCGACGGGGTGAGTGGGAGGCAGATGAATCAGGATGACTGGGAAGAGACGTGGAACGGAAAGGGAGGAGGGAGAGAGGGAGGGAGGGAGAGAACTGGGAGGAAAAGCGGTGGGAGGAAAGAAAGGGAGAGAAAGAAATGCCAGAGGAAAGGGAGAGGTGAACGCACCTCGACACAGCATGGCCGCAGCAACTCCTCCTGCTGCACATTCAACGGTTCAGTGCGGTCACATGAACCGCACTGATGCCCTCTCCCGTGTCCCTCCTCCTGGCGCCTCATGTCCACAGCCTCCCCTTGCATCTCCTCTCTCACGCCCCTCTCCGCCGTCTCTTCCCTCCGCCCCTTCTCCCCTCTCTCCCCACCTCCATCCCCTTCGCCCCTTAAATCTTTGCCTCCCGCTTTCCCTTCACCTATTGTCACACGCTCACATGCTTCACTGCCCGCTCTGCCCTCGCATGCCTTCACCGCCCCCTCTATAATCACACGGAAGCAATGTTGGATGTATATGGCTGCAGCCGGTGTGACAGTGGCGGGGGGAGCAGCAGCGCCACTGCCAGGCCTGTTGGGAGAAACGGGCAGAACAATGAACCACAGGGGGCTGCTGGAATATGGTTGCTACACTACCCGGAGAGAAAAAAAAAAAAAAAAAAAAAAAAGGTGTTGATACTGATTAGCTGCAAATGCAAGCAGCAGCAGGAACAGGCCAGAGGTTTTGTGAAGGACTGCATTCATCGTGGAATTCATCCCTCCACGTGCCAGGCTAGCACGAAGGGCGGAGACGAGGTTTATGGTTTTGGGTAGAGAGAAAACTATTAAGTCGCCTCAAAACACATGCCGGACGAACATCACGGCCGGAGATGAGGCTTCGGGTTGAATGAGAGTAGCAGCACGCACAGCGGTGGGTGGAAGGATGTGGGCCAGACTGACTGCTGCTCCTGCCATCGCTCCTTGGTGCGAGGGGCGTGAGCCGGCACCTGCCACGTGTATGTATTACAAGTCACAGTGAGTAAAAATACGATCATAATGAAGTACGTAAGGGCATGTTGAACGATAAAAACGTAGCAAACTATATAAGCATAACAAGCAATATGAACATAACAAAACAAAATCAACATCACATACAATATGAACAACGAACAGCAGACCCACCTGAGTTACAACAGGCTCCAGCCCGTGCTCAGTCACCAGCTGCTGCAGCGGTTCAGGGAGAGCCAATGGATCGCTGCCAGGTGTCAGCACGACGTGCAGCGAGACGGCTCGGCCTGGAAGAGGAAGGAAGGAAAGGACACATGGCATGAGTAAAATCTCAAGGCGCCTGAAAACGTGAAGGAAGTGACATCTGGTGTGACATGCACACTCTCTCTTAACACCTACTCTTGCTCTAGGCTTCTCCCTGTCCCCGTCATATGAACGTTCATCTATGCACACTCCACTCCACTCCCCCCATCCCATCCCTCCCCTTCTCACCTCCCCTGTCCGTCGCACTCTCTTCAAATGCTCAAGACAATTTCTGAGAAGATTCTTGAGACGTATAAAAAATCGTCAGCCACTCACTCACCTTCCCCCGTCCTCCGAACTCGCTTCACATGGTGAAGGTCCCGCAGGGGTGCCACTGATGCCAGCTGCCTAGGTAGGGGCAGCGGTGTGGGGGGAGTGAAGAGGGGGAAAGGGGGGGGATGTGTGTGGAGGGGACTTTTGAATCGACTCAAAGCCGTCGCACTCGCTTCACATGGTGAAGGTCTTTCAGGGGTGCCATTGATGCCAGCTGCCTAAGTGGGGGCAGGGGCGTGTGGGGGGAAGAGAGTGAGCGGGGGGCGAGGGGTTGGGGAGTGGGAGCCAGGGAAGAGGGAGGAAACGGGAGGGGCGGACTTGAGCTGAGGTGCGGGTTTGAATGCTGAAGCTCCCGCTGTGGTGCCGGCGATGCATTTCGGGAAAAACGCAAGTGGGAACACATTGAATGGGAACTACGCTAACAGATAGGGGCAACATTATCAGGTGGGATGATTACTCAACAAGCAGTGGTTTGAAGATTTGCTGATCAGCAGGCCACCTGACGCTGATCAGCAGGCCACCTGACGCTGATCAGCTTGATCAGATAGACAGTCATATGGTGCTTTTTTTTTTACTTATCAACAACCACCTGATCAGCAACCACCTGATCAATGACCTAAAGATACTCACTTTATTAATTTATTTGCAAGTGCAGGTTTCACCTCTGCCACCACAACCGGAACTGCCAATAACGAGGACAAAAAGAACAAGGTCCGGAGATTGTTACTGCTCGGAAATCAATTGGTCCAATCCAGCGAAACGCGAGGCCGCATCTCACGCGAAGCACAGGAGCCGTGCACTCTAGAGCATCTGAGGGTCGAAACGAGTTTTGAGTCATCGCAATCACACGAGCCTTGCACTCTAGAGCATCCCAGGGTCGAAAACGCTGTGTCCCATGACTTGAAAAAGCACGACCCGAGTCATAGGTTGGACGCCATAAATTTTTTCATGTCTCGTGAGACAACCAATGCTGCGAGCGCGCTACCTGTGGCATCGTGCGGCGGTTCGTCCTCGCCGGGAATATGCTGCAGCCGCGAGGGTAGCAGCTGCTGGTGCTGCTGATTCGGTTGAGGTGTCTTAGTCACATCGTAAAACAATCAATGCTGCGAGCGAGTGCACTACCTACATGTGGCATCGTGCGGCGGTTCGTCCTCTCCGGGAATATGCTGCAGCCACGACGGCAGCACCTGCTGCTGCTGATTCGCTTGAGCCGCCATCTCGCCGCTTGCTGCTGTAATCTCTAGCGCGACGCGAATTTACAAAGGGTTCGGACAGCAGGTATTCAGATGTAGCGACCAGTCATTTGCGATTCGTGCAAGGGGCTGTGTCGCGATGATGAAGCTTGTGTTGTGACAGAATCCAGGTTATTTGGGAATGTAGTATTTTGAAAACATCGAGGGCACTAGGGCGAGTTCGGTGGTTCAGTAAGCCTTGAAGAGTTTGACGGTTTATCCTGGTTCTGCTAGTTTCAAAGCGGTGCTTCCTGTCATTAACCATCTCAACCACTACGCATCGTATGTTAACGCACTTACGCATCACACACAAAACTGCGATTATCTTCAAACGCGACAGGCTGCTCTTCGTTATAGTTCCAAAGCACGCGTTGAGCAATAATTGATCCTTCCCAAAAAAAATCAGCAACACCGCCCCAACAAAATAGGGGCGTTTTCTCTGCTTATGGTATTTTCGTGGCGCTTCGCCCGCCATTGTGTATCTCACCACTAGACGCTTGCCGCTTTTGGTCGCACCGACTAGCGTTTATTCCTGCGACCTGTCTGTCGGGTGAAGAGTCATTTCTTGGGCGCCTCAGAAACACTGGTATTGTGACTGTGTTTACTCGAGTCGAGTGTCATTTTAGTAACGTTGCGCGGTCATTTCAACTTTGGCACTCTTGTGACGAAAAGTGGGTTTGTCTCTTAGTGTCTCGCGCGTATTCTGCTCTGCTTCCCTCTTCGCCCCTCGTTCGCCTCTTGCTCGAACCGGGCGAATACTTAGCAAATAGTTACCGAACAGTATCGTAGTGCGCGAGTCGCGAGCTACTTACCTTGCCATTAACGCAGTAATGGAGCGGTCTAAACGGCGGCGAGTTGCCGTGAACTACGCCAAGCTAGCCGCGGGGGTTCAGGCGGAAGAATCGGACGACGAGGAGGAAGAAGAGAAGGGAAAGAAGGGCAAGAAAGAGAAAAAGGAGGTGAAGCAGAGGCCGACACGTGGCGGACGCGGATTGGTCGCGGTTGCGACCCTTGAAACTGCCGCGCCGTCCGCTACCCGGGCGCGGAGCGTGCGCGGAGGGGGAAGTTCCAGCGCGGGGGAGAGTTCCGCGCGCCAGGCGGTGATTGGCGGGCGGAGGGTGGGCTTGCGCGTTCTGACTCCGCGGAAGACGGGGGGAGCGGAGGCAGCAGCGGCAGAGGAAGCGGAGGAGGAGGAAGTGGAGGAGGAGGGGGGCATGGGAAAGGTGAAGAGGAAGAGACGAACCAAGAGTGTGGCGGATTTAAGGTGAGAATGGGGAGAGAAAGGGCGAGAGTTTTTTTAGTCTTTGAGTACCACAAGAGTGTGGGGTGGGGAGTATGGAGAATGGGGACGTTATGTGTTACAAGCTCCATGACCCCAGCCTCGCAGCTTTTTCCAAACCAGTATCCCCTCTTTTTGTGTCGGCTTTCCTCCTTATACCCGTTTCCCTCCCCTTCTCCCTCCCCTTCTCCCTCCCCTGCTGTCTCCTCTTGCGATTGCTCCTGTGGGAATTGCCCGTGTCTTCTCCTAGCAGCCAACCAGCAGGCACAAGAGGGCGGGGGCAGAGACGAGCAGCAAAGGATGAGGATGGGGGTGATCGTGATGATGGGGATGGGGATGGGGATGGCAATGAGGCGGTAGCGGAGGAGTCAGCAGCTGTTCAAGATGCAGACTATGATTCTGACGTGAGTTATATATTACAGCAGCGTTTGTTTTGAGACGTCTCAAAACAACAAGATGCAAACTATGATTCTGATGTGAGTTGCATTGCAGCAGCGTTTGCCCTTGAATGAGTCGCCTCAAGAATTGCCGCTTGCTTTACATTCTCAATCTGCCTTGGCTGTGAGCCTCGTGATAAAAGTGATGTTTTGAGACGTCTCAAAACTTCTATTCCACGCCTTTAGCCTTCTTTTGCGCCCTTTGAGACGTCTCAAAAGTCATGTACCCAAGAACCCTCCTTTCTGCTTCTGACCTGTGTAGGATCCTTTCCCTACTGCTGTCCCTTCCCACAGGATTTTCGGCCTCAGGATCAAGAGCAAGAGCAGGAGGAGCAGGAGGAAGAGCAAGAAAAGGAAGAGGAGCAGGCACGAGTGGTGCTGGTTAGAAGGCCTCGCTCCACTGCTGCAGCACCAGGAGCACCAGTTTCAAATGGAAGAAAAAGAGAGGCTCCGAGCAAGAAAGGGACCCAGATTGCTGTGTCTGGCGCGCTGAAACGCAAGTCTAGACTGAAGCAACTGGAGGAGGAGGAGGAAGAGGAGGAGGAGGTGGAGCAGGAGGAGGAAGAGGGACAGGATGGGGAGTTGCAAGTGGGAGGGGACGATGAGGGAGGGGAGGAGGAGGAGGAAGAGGAAGAGGAGGAGGATTTGTTGGGGATAGGTGTGGACGAGGACGAGTCTGAAGACTTTATTCCAGGGCTGGAGAAGGAAGGACAGGAGGAGGAGCAGGAGGAGGAGGAGGAAGAGGAGGAGATGGGGGACGAAGAGGAGATGGGTGGGGAGGGCGTGGGGGGTGGGGAGAGGAGAGGAGGAAAGAAGCAAGGAAAGGGGTCGCGACAGTCAATGAGGCCGGTATGTGCTGCAGCTGCCTTGTGTGCGAGTGCATTGTGCTGTGCTGCAGTAAGGGACGCATCACAACACCATGCATGCGCCATGAAACATCATTTATTTGCTCTTATCTTAACCCAATTTTCCCTATCGCCCTTCTACCCTCCAACCTCCCATCCCCAATCTCCCCTCCTTCACTACTACAGCCACCACCCCAGCAACCGTTTCCCAAGGCCCAGTCTCAGCCTGTTTCCGCACCCTTCCGCACCCTTCCACACCCATTTTCTCTCCAAGCCCCTCACCTCTTTCTTTCTCTCATTCCCCTTTACCCCCACTTCGCCTTTTCCCTCTCCCTGCAGCCGCCATCCCGACAACCGTTTCCCAAGGCCTGCTCGCAGCCTGTTTCAGCACCCTTCCGCTCCCATGCCCTCTCCAAGCCCCTCACCTCTTTCTTTCTCTCATTCCCCTTTACCCCCACTTCGCCTTTTCCCTCTCCCTGCAGCCGCCATCCCGACAACCGTTTCCCAAGGCCCGCTCGCAGCCTGTTTCCGCGACCTTCCGCTCCCATGCCCTCTCCAAGACCCAGCTTCCCCACTCGGCCTCGCTCCCTTCCTCGCGGGCTTTCCCTCGCTCAACCAGTAGCCTGGGCAGCAGCGGGAGGGGCGGCAGCGGCAGCTTTGGCAGCGGTGGTATCAGCGGCAGGGGCAGCAGCAGCTTTGGCAGCGGTGGCAGGGGTGGTGGTAAGGGTGGTGTGGCTTCTGCTGCGATGGGTGGTGGCGGGGTGAGGAGCCGACTGTTGAAGAAGATGGGCTTTAAGGTGCCGCTGGTTAATCCCAAGTTCATGCCAAAAGCCATGCAGCAACCCGCTCCCTCTCCCAGGCACGCAGCAGCAGCAGCAGCAGCTGCAGGAGGAGCAGGATTAGCAGGAGCAGCAGCAGGAGCGGCAGGAGCAGTGGAAGGAGGAGCAGGAGCGGAAGTTGGGCCAACAGCAGGGCGGGCACTGGGAGCAACAGGGACAAGCCCAGCTGCTGCTAGTGGTGGCAATGCTGCTGGTGCTGCTGGTGGTGCTGCTAGTAGTCCTGTAATAAAGAGGT